GTGCAGATATTTGAATTTAAAAACAGAACAGTAAATCATGGAGGGATATGACCGGACTTGTTAGCATTGTGTTGCTAGGCAATGAGGGTCAAAGGTCAATTTATCTATGTTTTATATAGTACCATATATAACGTCTGGTGTGTCTTTTAAATGGTTGACATGCAATTTTGAGTGACTTTTTTTCACATTTCCCCAAAGATGTGTGGTGTCTTACAAATAATATTGAAAAAAAAAAGCAAGACACAAAACATATGTGTAGGTGAAAATAAACTGTTTCTTCATCAGTCAATATTTATTTTCACGAGAAACAAATTTTCATGAATTTGATGAAATTTTGCAGTCAGTGACTTTTGTGAAATACCATTATATCACAAATCGTGATAATTCCTAGCAGCAAAAATTAATCAGTCTACAGTTCTTCAAAACCATTTTTTCACATTTAATTTCACTATTTACATGTTTTGAGTATATTCACTGTGCTTTAATTTCACAAGTTTGTCAAGGAAACAAGGAGTTTTATTGTTATTTTACATGTTCATGTAGATTCAATATAGTGGATTTCACTTATCAAATTAAAACCTAGTGAATAATTAATGCATTTACAGTAGTCTTGATATAATTGTACTACTACATGTACCTATCCAAAACTTGATGTAGCTGAAGCAAAAATCACCATTAATATATCTGCTAATAAGACAACAATATACCTTACAGTTTCTTTTATTTTCCTAAAGCTAGAGTATTAAACTTATAACTCTGTCAGTAAAGAAATATGTACTGGGTATAATTTATGTGAATTTTATTTGATGCATCATAATTGTTTAATTAAAAAAAAAAAAAAATTCAGTTTTGATTTCAATAAGACATGTGACTTGGTGAATCACAGACGTAACATTTACAGCCTCAGACACCATTTCATTCTGGGAAATTGTTGGATCTTCTGCAGTTGCTAATTCACTTGAAGTAGAAATATTTGTATGTACTAGTACATGCTACAGTACACTAGTGGTAATTTGAAATCAGCAATATGTAACTACCATGACGATTCAAGTGTCTGTAATGAAGTAGTGCATTTCTAATCATACCATTCAAAACTTTGAAATCAATTAATGGTAGTATTGATCATGTGTCAATGACTCTATTATGGTCCTGCAAACACAACAAAAGGTGTCCCAACAATGGTGTAATGGTCAAATACTTTAAGAGACAAAAAGAATTTCAACGAATGGATTGAAATCTTTCAAACGTACTCCATGCTTTTGAAAGAACCAGTAATTATATTTACCGGTGTGAAGTGCAAAAGAAAGTGTCTTACAGCCCTACGACAAGATAAAACCTGTCATCTGTGTTGTATGCAGGTACATGTAGGATTTCTTTTTTAATGGTTTGCGATTGAAATCTAAAACTTAAAAGTCTAGTTTGTATGAAATTTAGTCTGTAAAATTAAATTACAAGAGACTTTGAAAGCCAAGAATCTTTTTTTTTTTTAAATCAAAGTTGCATACATTTCGAATCACATCGTGTATATAATAAATAATGATAATAATACACATGACTCATGAGTTTAATCTGTTTTGTTGATTTAAACATTAAACCATGAGACTGTAAGCCGGTTAATGTTTGGCGCTATCAAATTCTAAAAGGTGATTTTAGGAAAATTCCTGTCAATAAAATTTCACTGTGACTCGCTGTTTTATCCCAGATCCCAGTTGAAATGTTTTATTTTACCCCTGATTTTTAAATTTTGTTTTGTGTGAAACATTTGTCTCTTACTCATTGTTATCGGTAGTACTAACAATTTAATGATGATTTATGGTGCCAATAAACTAAGGCATATAATGAAAAGCCAAGGTATTATACATACCTTGTACACAATTACAAAATGTGACAATAAAGACAGGGTTGGGTTGGGCTACTCACTCTGTCTACAATCTCTTTATAGAAGCCAAATGCTAGATACCGGTATCCATACAGGACAAATATATATATGGGATTAGAGAGGTTTCACCATGGCAATTAACTTTTTTGGTGTCCCCATATCATAGATCTGAGCATGCATACTGATTTTCATAGATTTCCTTTGCTGAAATCTATCAACCAATTAAATCTATCTACCAGTTAAATCTATCCACCAGTTCTATAACAGTTTTTTTTCCTTCAGCATGAATTTTCCGGTGCACTCACCCCAGGGGGTGGGGAGTTAGCCCAACATTACATCACTAATTTCCACCACCCCGAACCCCACAATCTGATACCCCCTTTGTTCAGATAACTTAATGAATTAATTAAAGAGGGGATAATGCTAATTAATACAACTAATTTATTCTCGAGCATCACGTCGCCACAGCCCTGTGGGTGGGTTTGATTAATCTACGATCTTAAAGCATGCTTATGTACAGTATCCAGTACTGTTGATAGCTATTGTATTGAATACATGTATACAACTAATAAGTGGCATCCAGTATCAAATCACCTTGGTAGCGTGGTGCTAGTTACACTTTAGCGACTTTTCAAATTTCTGCTTATGGACTGCGCGATCTGAGAAGAGACTCAAAGCAGAAAAGAAGACGACTGCAATGCAATAGATCACTTAATTATTTACTCACCTGCGGGGTACGGTTAAAATGTCTAAATCGACTAAAATACGCACACATACGAAATACTAACAGCAACCGAACCAAGGACGTTATACTTTTGAACAATGAACTTTGACCCCAACAATATCAAAGGTCACCGCGCAGGCGTGTTGACGATTATTTCGAAGTAAGTGGAAGTCCTGAAAGATCGAAATATATCTTGTGTAAAACATACGGTAAGCCTCTGTACTATATTGATGTATTTAACGTAGACCGTACGATTGAAACTTTGTACTTAGTTGAGACAATCAGGGTTTTTTTCTACTGGTTTGGCCATGTCGTGATGGGTGACGATGTCTACGGTATGATACCAGTTGGCATCCCCTCTGACGTACACATGTAGCTCGCATTGGGATGTGGTTGCACAACAATATAATGGGCTGTTATGTATTTCTACGAATATGTGCCCTTGGCGGACTAGCCCTGGACGCTGCAACACGACGAGTTTTTATTCTGAGTTGTAACAGATTCAATTTGATTTCGATTAATTTATTTACTGAAACTGTTCCTATACTTCTCCAAGTCAGTTGTATATGTCAATAAATATTACAATTCTCTAACAATGGAGGGTTAATTTAGTTTATTTTAAACATTTTCTCAAACTCATTTAGAATGACAACTGAATGAGGCCTGTGAGTATGATCAAACCATATCTATCCCAAGATCTGACTGAAATTACATATTTTTTTCTTTACTTGTAGACATTCTTTATTAATTAAAGCAGGGATATGGCATCTGCTGATGTAGAAGACGTACCACAAAAAGATGTTTCCTATCCTAGAAAACTTATTTATTGCGGAGGTAAGAACGAAGATTGATGTCCCTGTGTGTTTTTTTTCTTATCAATAAAACTGTCATAACCACATAGTAATGTTACAGGTTTCCTGTCTCATTTCTTGTACTATTATTAACTTTTATATAATATATTCTCATTACAGTGTATGGCAGAAACTGGGGACATTACAAACATGTTACAAATATACTTTTTTGATAAATCTAAATGAAAACCAACTGACCAATCTAGAAATGTGTATACTCATGCAATGTGCTATACATATTTACATTTGTAAAAGAATTGTAACTTACATGACTTTGTTGACTTTAGTATAAAAGGCATTATTGTTATAAACATTTCATAAATAGCAAATTTTATAAATTCAAAATGGAATTCCCAGCCATGGTATTGTGACATAGCAAATATAATTTATTAATACTGGGTTGGTTTAACATTGTCAAGTTTGCAAACAGTTTAATATCAATAAGCTGGCAACCACAGACACTGTGCTACAGTCAGATATGATTGAAAATATATGTGTCAGAGGTTTCGTTAAGAGCCAGCCACTGGCCATATGGCCGGCTACAAGCCCAAATCCGCCGTCTACGCCTGAGTCATTACTGTTTGTTTTTTTCCAAGAATGCACAATGCCACTAGAGTTTTGTGAGTTTCATCCTAATTATGAAAAGTGCAAAAAATGGTTAGAGAAGAATTTACCTGACCAGTTTGATGCTTTGATGAGGCTATCGGAAGACGACCCAACAGCTGGTGGTGAAGGAGAGAAGAAAAAACAAAAAAGAGGTCAGTATTTTCTGGACAAAATGAGAACTCACAAGAAAGACATTCATGCTGCATTCAAAAGCATCTATACAGCGAGCGCAAGATATGTTACATACACCTAACTCCTGCACCTGATAGGTAATTACCGAGGGACTTTGC